GTTGGTGGGAATGTAGTTTGGTGCAGCCTTTATGGAAAACAGTATGGAGATTCCTCAAAAGACTAAAAATACACTTACCATAGGATCCAGCAATCCCACTCCTTGGCATATATCCAAGAGGGAATCTTAATTCAAAAAAATAATGCACCCCAACATTCACTGCAGCACTATTTACAATAGGCAAGACATGGAAACAACCTGAATGTCCATCAACAGATGACTGGATAAAGAAGCTGTGGTTTATTTATACAAAGGAATACTACTCAGCCATAAAAAAATAATAAAATAATGCCATTTGCAGCAACATGGATGGATCTGAAGACTGTCATTCTAAATGAAGAAAGCCAGAAAGAGAAAGAAAAGTACCATATGATATCACTCATATGTGGAATCTAAAAAAGAAGACAAATGAACTCATTTACAAAACAGAAACAGACTCACAGACATAGAAAACAAACTAATGGTTACCAGGGAGGAAGAGGGTAGCAAGGGATAAATTGGGAGTTTGAGATTTGCAAATATTAACTACTATATATAAAATAGATAAACAACAAGTTTCTTCTGTATAGCACAGGGAACTATATTCAATATCTTGTACCAACTTATGGTGAAAAGAAAAGATGAATATATGTATGTTCATGTATGATTGAAGTATTATGCTGTACATTAGAAACTGATACATTGTAAACTGACTATACTTCAATAAAAAAGTATATATATTATATATAAAAAACAAAAACAAAAAAATTTTCTAAGTTGAATTTTTTTCTTTACTGTTTTAGTACTCAGATTGTTATTCTTCCATAAGTGTACTCAATAAACACCTTAAGATACTCAATTATCCCTACCTACTTCCAGTTAACCTATTTCCTCCAATTTCTACTGGATGACATTGACTATTGTCAAAGAGAAAGTGCAGATATAAGTAAAAGAAAAAAAAAGTTTTTAAAGGACAGAAAAGAAGTAGGCTTAATCCAGGAAGTTCATTTTTAGCCTTAAAATAGTAGCTTACAAGAAAAAACTTGTCATTTTCCTTCATAGTGCACAATTTATTTTTAATACATTAGAACAATTCAATTTTGTGGGACTGGCACAATAACACTGGATTTTTCTGGCTCCTCGAGTCCTAATTGTTGTGTGTAAGGACATTGATGTTGTATGGTACAGATCCAGAAGTCAGGCACTGTGCCATATTGTTAACACAGGCAGCTGATTTATGGTTATTCGTTGCCAGTAATTTGTTGCTCAAAGATTGTTCCATTCAAACGGATGAATCAAAATCATCAATTTGATGCTTTTCCCAAGAATAAGCTTTTCCCAAGAAAACTGTTTCCTAATTCCTAATGCTTTGACCTCAAGAACATTTAATAAAAAGACTACTATGATGCATATTTGAGATTTATAGTAAGTCTGTTAGATGTCTTCTTCAATAAGAACTGTCAAAACACAAGCCAAAATACACAGGTAGGCAATAGTAGATTTTTTCTATAACCCAAATGTCAGCTGGACAGCACCTATTAATTTGACTTAACTACTTCACTCTAAACAAGCCCATGCATTTGGGAAATAAAAAATCCTCCCTGTACCCTGAATACATTCAGTAAGACATGAGGAGAGAGGATAAAGATTTTTATTTTTATGGCTTCTTGATCTAGAATTCTGCTTTCACACTTACTCTATCTTTTCTGTCCCAACCCAAATTTGAAATATATATTCTTTCATTGATATAAAACAAACATTTCAGCCCAGTGAGAATTTGAGGGCATAAATGATTTCTAGAATAGAAAGCAGAAAAGGATTTATGTTCCAGCCACAAAAACAACTTGAAATTAAACAATGAGTATCATCTATTTTAAAATCCCATTTGATTATATTACCACCAGGGCCACTGACCTTCCCTTCAAGTAATCTCAGTTCTCTTCATCTTGTTGGTTCTTCTCTCCAACGTCCATGCTTTGTGTTCTCTCATTTCTTCTTTCCTCCCCTGAAAAAGTAACAAATTATTTTCTGGTCTCTCTTAGGAACAGTCATTGTCTCCCTTTCTCCCTGAACCTTTGTGCCAACCAATACCAAAGTCTTGTGATTTAGCCTCCTACTCAAAGAGCTCTTGAAACATTTCCAGTTCTCTTTCTAAGAATTCTGTGGACAGCTGTTATGCAGATAGATAACTTAGATATTATGTATATATAATATAAAAATTATACATATCATAAATTATGTATGTTACATATGAATTATATATTATTGTATATGCTGTTATATATAAATTATATACACATTGTATATTTTCTAAGTTTTACTATATACATGTGAAAAAGGTAAAAGAGGCGAGAATATTATCCAACATCGTAAGCACCTCCCATGTATGAAAGGC